CATATCTACACATATCTGTTTAGTTACCCTGGGTTACTGAGGCTACAGTATCAGTAAAGAGCTGCTGCCCGGATTATTTAGGGAAACCTGACAAGAAGTCTGTGTTTGTTCAGTACAGATAGTGTCTCTTTCTGAATGTTTCTTTTTTCTTTTGTGTCTTTTGGTTTCTCTGTATAACAGTCCTGGATGTCCCGGAACTAGCTCTGTAGATCTCTGCAGAGATCCGCCCGCCTCTGCCTCCCCGGTGCTGGGATTAAAGGCGTGCGGCCCAGCTCCTTCTGAATGTTTCTAGCAGAAGTTGCTTCTATGGTCAGAGGATCCAAAGATACTAGGTTGACTGTAGCTATACTTTCTATACCTTGGTTGTAATTAAGGGCATATATTTTTTTAAGAATTATTATGTCTGAGTGTTTACCTGCATGTATGTATGTGCAGGACATGTGTATGTGCCTGGTGCCTAAGGTGGTCAGAAAGGGGGATCAGATTCTCTGGAACCAGAGTTAGAGATGACTGAGTCATGTGAGCGCTGCACACAGAACTTGGGTTCTCTCCAAAAATAGCAAGGATTTTCTTCTTTATTTTAAATTAATGTTTAGTATGTATATGTGTATTATGTATGCATGTGTGTATGTATGTATGTATATATGTAGTATTTGTTCGTGGGTATGTATATGTGAGTGCTAGTACCTCTAGAATCCAGAAGAAGGCATTGGATCTCCAGGAGCTGGAGTTACATGCAGTGATGTGCTGGGAACTGAACCCAGGTCCTCTATAAGAGCAGTAAGAGCTCTTAACCACTGAGCCATCTTTTCTGCCCCTGTAAAGAATCCTTACTGATGAATGACAAACACTTAAACTAGGGGCTGGTGAGATGGCTCAGCAGTTAAGAGCACTTGTTGTTTTATAAAGGGCCCAAGCTCACAATTGTCTGTAACTCTAATTCTGGGGCATCTGATGCCCTCTCCTAGCCTTTGTGACACAGATATACATGCAAGAAAAACATGGTATAACACATACACACATAAAAAAAAATAAGTCTTAAATAAAAAAAGAATAATTATACCCTGGGGTTGGAGAGATGGCTCAGCAGTTTAGAGCACTTGCTTTGTACAGGAGTCAATTGAGGTCTTCAGTACCCACGTAATGGCTCACAGCCACCTGTAATTCCAGCTCCAGGTGATCGATATACACCCCAGGAACACACATGATGCACACGCATATATCCGGGCAAAACATTCATATCCATTGTGATGCTCTGAATGAAATTGGCCCCCACAGCTTATATGTTTAAATACTTAGTCCCCAGTTAATAGAACTGTTTGGAAATGACTAGGGGGTGTGGCCTTGTTGGACGGGATGTGTCACTGGGGGTGGGCTTTGAGGTTTCCAAAGCCCTCACCAGTCCCTGCCTGCAACTTGCAGATCAGATGTGACCTCTTAGCGATCTCTCTAGCATCACACCTGCCATACGCTTCTCACCGTGATAAGGAACTAAGTCTCTGAAAGTGTAAGCAAGCCCTCAATTAAATGCTTTTTTTAAAAAAGTTGTCTTGGCTGCTGGGCACTGGTGGTGCACACCTTTAATCCCAGCAGTCTGGAGGCAGAGACAGGCGAATCTCTGTGAGTTCAAGGCCAGGCTAGCCTACATAGTTAGATCCAGGACTGCCGTGACGATATAATGGGACGTTGTTGTCTGGGGGTGGGGGGGAAGAAGCCATTGGTATTTTTAAAGGGATGGCATGGGGGTGGGGTCACTAGCAAGCAACAGAGAGATCCAAGCTGTGCACAGGGCTCTCTGTAGGACAGCCGCCAGCCTGGTGTGGCAATTAATCACTTGAAATGAACCACGGGGCTCAATTTTTGGTTAATTAGTTGACATTCAAATAGTCACATAGGGCTGGAAGCTGGATACACAGGCCTAGAAAGACACTGGCAGAGATTTAGATAGAAGACTGCGTAGGGTTATATGCGGGGTAACATCCTGAGCCAGTGCCCTGATGCCCCACAAAGGGTGTCTCCTAGTTGGAGTGGGGAGAGAGGCCAAAGTCAAGCACCCCTTTCTCCCGTGTTGAGGGGACCTGAAGGACATCTTGGGTATTTTTCCTGGTCCAGCCATCATGACATACTCTGTTGACCCCCTCCATTAGAGGAATATTGGCTGGTGGCAGCCCATGAGGCAGGTTTGTTTTTCATGTTCCTAATTGTATGGGCTCATATGTGCCTGTAATATCAACAAGACTTGGAAGTTGGAGGCAGGTGAGTCAGGAGTTCAGGACCAGCCTGTCTCAAAAACAACCCACATACATGCATGCCACACACACAAATACATGTTTAAAATAGTAAGGAAGGCAAGTCTGGTGGCACATGCCTTTAATTCCAGCACTTGGTAGGCGGGGGTTGGGGGGAGAACCTCTGAGTTTGAAGTCAGCCAAGGCTTACATAGTAAGACTGTCTTTTAAAATAACAGAACAGAAAGATGGAGAGATGGCTTAATGAATGAGAACACTGGCTGCTCTTCCAGAGGACCCAAGTTCTATTCCCAGCACCCACATGACAGCTCACAGCAATCTGTAACTCCAGTCCCAGGGGATCTGATGCCCTCTCTTCTAGACTCCAGTGGCACCACATACATGGAGCATAAACATATATTCAGGCAAGACACTCATACCCATGAAATAAGTCAATTCGAAAAGTTGGATGCTGTGAATTTAACTTGGGTCATTTCTGCAAGAAAGGTCCTCCCAGCCAGTGCTGCACCAAGCCATCTCTTCAGCCCCTAAAATAAGTTCATTTAAAAAACTTGTTTAGGTTTATGTGTATCGGTGTTTTGCCTCCACTATGTGCACGTGTCTCTGGTGCCCCCGGACGTCAGAATAAAATGTCAGGTTCCCTGAAACTGGAGTAGTGGATGGCTGTGAGCCACCAGGCAGGTGCTGGGAACAGAGCCTCGGTCCTCTGAAGAGCAGCCAGTGCTCTTCACTGTTGAGCCATCTCTCCAGCCCCAGTAAATCAATTAAGACAATTTTTAAAAAAGAGAAGAAATGAAAACCTAGCCACTAGGGTAAAGGTTAACTGATCTATCTATCACTTAGAACTGCTGGGAGAGGGGAATCCATTTCTCCGACAGAGTGGCACTGGGGGTATCAACCCCTCCATGACAGGCCTTGTGTGCAGGAGTAGTTGAATAATGGACTCCAATGGGTATTTTGTGTGCTTTTAATTGGTTACATTAAATTTAATTGGTTACAGTTCATTTTTGGTCTTTTTTTTTTTTTTAATTGTAGGGGCATGGTTGTTTTCTTGGTTTTGGGGGTGTTGTTGTACTGGGTTTTTGCTCGTATTTTGAGAAAGGACTTAAAGTCATATGAAATGGAAGGGAAGATTATGACCAAAATACATTTAAATTTAAAACTTGTTTTAATGATAAACATAAAAAGCAGTTCTCAAATAATAAAATTTTTTAAAATTGAAAAATAGAACAATTAAAAGATGTCGATGTTCCAGGTGGAGACTCAGGTTCCACAGGTGACTTATCTAAGTCACACAGCAAGTGAGGGACGCAGCTGAAGTTTGAACTTGTATCCTACCTGCCTATGGTGCCCAGACTTTAGAAGCTGTGCTTTGGTGGAGCTGACTGACGCCGTAAGACCAGGCAGGAGAGAGGGGGAACGTGTGCCCTGTTACCAATGGGAGACAGAGAGTGTATATCCTGAGTGCAGGCTGGCACTGCCCAGAAATATGGGCTGGATGGGTGCCTCCTGGACTTCCACGTTCCTGTAGGAGATGGACATCACGTTTACATAGAGGCGGCTGAGGGTCACCAGTGAGTTCTAGGTGTTCCTTCCTCACTGTGGGAGATGATTCAAGGGGGTGTGTAATTCTGATGGTTTCCTGGACTAGGAAAAAAACCCACCTTTTTGATGAAGTGGATGAATCTGAATTCACAACGGAACAATGACGGGGTTGGTGTGGCTTGCTGGGATTGGTGCCAGTACCATGACAAGCAAGGGAAGGCTGTTCTGAGGCACTCTGCTAGGAGAGCAATGGGGGTAGCATGCATGCTGTTACCACAGGGTAACTGCAGAGACAGATCAAGCAAGTGAGCCAAACACGAACACTGAAGCTCAGAAGGTTCTCTGGGTTCTCCCATGCAGACTCTCTGGAAGTTTAAAACTGTTGACAGAGGAAATTTCCTGTGGCTAGGCATGATGTGTGCCGATGCAGGTGCATCCAGGTAGAGGCTGTGCGTTTGAGGCTAGCTTGGTCTACATAGCAAGTTACAGGTTAGCAAGGGCTGCACAGTAAGATCCTATGTCAAGCTGGGTTGTGGTGGTGCATGCCTTTAATCCCAGGACTCAGGAGGCAGAGGGATCTGAGTTCGAGGCCAGCCTGGCCTACAGAGTGAGAGTTCCAGGACAGCCAGGGCTGCACAGAAACCCTTGTCTCAAAAACCCAAGAATAAAAAAATGTCAAAAACAAAATTGAGTTACCTCCAGTTTTTACAAAAGCAGAATGAGCCACACCTAGGGCCCAGCTTCTAGATTCTGATTGGACTGGGCCTATGGAGGGCTGTGTCTGGGACTGTCACACGTCCCCAGGTGGGCGCCAGCTGGGGTGGGAGCCAACTGCCCCATGGGATGTGGTGATAGATGTGTCTATTCCTACCTCATTAGCATTTGCAAGAATGAGCAGGAGGAATCCAGGCAGCTGCCCAGAACCAAGGAGGCTGGAACCAGCACATGCTTCTGGGCCTGGGAGACATCTGAATGGCAAAGACCCCAGATCCGAGTCTCAGGCTGGCAGGCGGAGTACACCCACCCTTGGCAGAATGCTACAGTTTACAGTTCTGTTGTCACTCCAGCTGAGCGCATGGCTTTGATGGCATAGAATCTAGTCCCTCTCTCCCTGTCCTGTCCACTTTATAAACGAGGAAACTGGGCCCTGCGTTCATCCCCATCAAAGCCCAGGGATTCGTGTCTCTGATGCCCCTCTGGTTTCAGGGCAGGAAGACTACGATCGGCTGCGGCCCCTGTCCTACCAGAACACACACCTCGTTCTCATCTGCTATGACGTCATGAACCCCACCAGCTATGACAATGTCCTCATCAAGGTAAAGTCCTGCCTGCCACTGAGAGTAGGGGCAGCTCCAGAGTGGCCTCTGCCCTGATACCCTGCTTTCTCCCTCCTCAGTGGTTCCCTGAAGTGACACATTTCTGCCGAGGGACCCCCGTGGTTCTCATCGGCTGCAAGACAGACCTGAGGAAGGACAAGGAGCAGCTGCGGAAGCTCCGGGCAGCCCAGCTGGAGCCCATCACCTACACACAGGTGGGCCAGGGTCCCAGCTACCACTCAGGTCCTCGATCCCTGAACAACCATAGCCAGAAACCACCCAGGCCTTGGTCTTCTCAACTGGAGAGCCTTAGCAGACTTTGGGGGAGCCGAAGTAAACAAAGGTCTAAGAGTCATCCAAAGTAATAATAATAATAGTAGTAGTAGTAGTAGTAGTAGCAGCAATAATAATATAGCACACACCTTTGATCCCAGCACTCAGAAGGCAGAGGCAGATGGATCTCTGTGAGTTCAAGGCCAGCCTGGTCTACACAGCAAGTTCCAGGTCAGCCAGAGCTACATAGTGAGACCCCGTCTCGAATAAATAGAAAGGAATAGGCACTAATAATAGTAAAAACAAGGTTTTTATTATGTCACTTAACCAGCAAACTCAGTTGTTGAGTTTGGAACAGAGCCTGAGATGTAATTAGCCCCAGTTCTCAGAATATCAGAATTCAGTTCCCCTCTGCTGAAAGCTTGGGAGAGGACAGGTCGGGGCCAACAAGGGCTTTCTTCCATCCAGCCATGCAAACTGGCCAGCACTCGGACTTTGGCCACCAAAGTCAGTTCTCCAACTCTGGAGAACCTCCAAAGCTAGCCCAAACTCCTAAGACTCGGAGTGGGTATCAGGAGGCATCAGGTCCTCATCTAACGAACACTGCCTCCCCCATCCTCCCCATCTAACGAACACCGCCCCCCCCCCCCCCGTCCTCCCCAGGGCCTGAGTGCCTGCGAACAGATGCGAGCTGCACTCTACCTGGAATGTTCCGCCAAGTTTCGGGAGAATGTGGAAGATGTCTTCAGGGAAGCTGCCAAGGTGGCCCTGAGTGCCCTGAAAAAGGCACAAAGGCAGAAGAAGCGCAGGATCTGCCTGCTGCTGTGACCCTGGGCAGACAGCCCTGAGCAGAGCTGTCCGGGTTAGGGACCCAGGCCTCAGCTCCTGCTGGGATTTTATCCCGCCAGAGCACTGTCATGCCTGGCATCTGGGGCTAGACTCTTGGAACATTCTGGAACTGTCCCCTCTGGGTTCATGCTATGGTTCGATGGAGAATGAAGATGCCAGACCCACCAGTGTCCCTCTCCCCTGGGGCCGGCACTTGTTCCCAGGCCGCAGGAGGGCCCTCACAGCAGCTCTTCTTGCCCCAGCCACGCGTGTTTCCCTTTCCAAACTCAATTCATGCTTAAAACTCGGAAAGGCATGGAGAGTGTGGGCAAGTGTGGTTGTGCACTGCTGCTCACAAGTGTCCCAAGACCACCGTCCTCTGTCACCATCTCCCTGAGCTCCTGAGATAGCTCGGTTACATCCTCCAGCCTCTTCCTCCTTCCCGTCAGGAACCAAGGGCCACAGCCTATCAAGAGAACAGAGGCATCAAGCCGGACATGGGCCGGCACCGGCTGTTCCCGCTGTACCACACTGAAGACTTTTGTCTTAGCCTGAGACACATGTTCGGGCGAAGAAGAAACAATCTCTTAAAAGGTCAAAATATACTCGGGCCTCCCATCCGATCCCTGCCCCAGACTTCGCCTCCAAACCCGCAACTGACTTCCACTGGGGACATCCGATGGACAGTGCCTACGCCCCCATCAGGGACCTCAGGCGAACGGACTCTCTCCTGAGACCACTCCATCTGTAAAGGGCCAGGACCGGGTCACTTAAGCTCATCATCCCACCCTCTTCAGTATCCGCTTCTACCAGGGTGCGGGCTAGGAATGGCCTCCCCCGCCTCCTTCCAGAACTGACCTGCAGACCACCAATGTCTACGACAGCAAGACTCTTGAGCTCTGAAATTCCTTCCGGAAGGTCTAGAGTCTGCATTTTCAGAACTTTCGAAGCCAAGTTTCCTAGGTGGTTTGAGTGCCCCCAAGAGGAAGTCAGCATCTCCCAAGAAGAAACTATGGCCTAGGCTGGCTCATCTGTCCTAGTACCTCTTGATTCAGCCCCCAAAGCCAGGTTGCCAAGGAAAGGGACTTCTGGCCCTCTTCCCCACAAGTGCCCGAAGGCCCTGCTGTCCCCTGCAGAGCTAACCAAGGACCTCTTGGTCTCTCAGAATCCAAGGCCTTGTAGATAAATTATGATATATGGCAGAGGTCAACAAACCACAGCCTGTGGGCCACACGTGGCCACTGCCTGTTTTGTAAATAAAGTTTTATTGAACGACCACAGTTGTGCAATGGCAGGTTACCACAGGGCTAGCCCACAAAGCCTGAACTACTCATTGTCCGGCTTTAATAGGAAAAGTCTGCTGATTCCTAACCTGGGGCATTCCTGGGTACCTGCAGAGGGCAGGCCAGGTGATTCAAGGACGGACAGGAGACCAAGGACAGAAGTAGGGCAGGGATGAAGGGAGGGGCGGGTTGTGGCAAACAGGAGCAGGTGCCTGATCTTGCCCCTTGGGAATGTTGCCAGGCCTTTCCATTTTGTAAGGTAAACAGAAATCTGGATTCTTGGGGAGGCGAGATCTCATTTTTATCACATAACTAAAGAAATTTAAACTCCTGTGAAGACCAAATGAAGCATGTCTGAGGATACCAGCTGTGGAGTCGGATCTGAGTGGGCAGCTGAGGTCCATGGGTCAGAAGGGACAGAACATTTAAGTGAACCTGTTTGCACCTCCACCCTTGCTGCTGCCTGGATCTCACGGGGCCACATAGGCCTTCCCACACACACAAGACTCTCAGAGATGGAGAGAGGCAGGGAATGAATGATCTCCAAATGGCTTAAGTTCTAGTCACGCTGGGTCTAGGGCCCATGTCAGGAACGCGCAGCAAGTGTGTGAAGGAAGGCTGAAGGGCAGCACTGAGAAACCCCCAGGGCAACCCAGAAGCTTGGCGCCCTCTGGTGGAGACCATCCTTAAAACCCTGCCACCTCAGGTTCCAAGGGGAAGAGATCTCTAGATCCTAAGTAGGCTGTGCTACTTTCTCCCAGTGGCCAGCAGGCAGGTGGTTCAGGAAACACAAAGCAAGAGACAAAACAGTCAGGCTCTCTGAGAACTTAAATACTCCCTCACCAAAGAGGGGGAGAGATGTGGGTGGTTTACAACAGAGGTGGTGGCCCAGGGGAGGGGGTGGCCCAGAGAAGGGCGCTCCACAGGTGCTGAAGGAATCATTCCACCCGGTGCCTGGGACACAGTAAATAGCAGGTCAGCTAAAGCCAACCCCAATGAGGCACATCTAAACCCCAGCGAGGGGTTCAAATGACAGGAGTAGGAAGAGAGGGGTTCCCTGAGGCTTTCTGCCCCTCCCTGGAAGACGGACGCAGATATGGCCACTGCCATCACCCAGAGCTGCAGAGAAGGTCTTGGATCCCAGGGATGCAGGAAGACCCAGCATTAAATACATTATAAATAGGGAGCCGGGGCAAGTTAATACTGTGCGCAAAGGTGCCCTTCACATTCCTCGTGTCTGGCCAGGGACCAGGGCCTTGGCCCTGCTCCCAGTGATGCTGCTGGCCCCTGAGATGCTGCTGCCCTTGGCTACCAGTGACCGGCAGCCAGGGTGCTGACTGGAATCTCCAGCAGTCTTAAGTCCCAAGACTCCCAGGCACAAGGGTCCAGGGGATCATGGCTGCTTTGTCTTGTTCCTGTTCTTCTGGAGTTTGGCGTGCACGACTTTGAGTGTAGTCAGGAAATTGCCAAGGAAGAGGATGAGGAAGGTGAGTGCCAGCACAAATACCTGGTCGATCCAGACGTGCAGCACCCAGCAATGCCCGGGGCAGGGGAGGAAGGAGAAGCTTGAGTCAATTCCCCTGCAGAAGAACCTGCTTCTAACCTCAGCCCCCAACCCTGAGCAAAGCCATAGGAGCCACCAGCAAAGCGTGGAAGTGGGTGAAAAAGTTCAGGTGGGGTTCTGGAAGAGTGGGGTAACCCTGCTTCATTCAACAACACTGAGGCCCCCCCCCCGCGACCTCTCCAGCTCCTTCCTACTATTTCCTCTCATGCCCCAGCAGCAGAAAACCCTGGGCTGCACGAACCCAGAGCCAAGAAACAAGGGATGGAAAGAGTCAAGGCAGCCCAGCCCTCTTGAAGCTCCCAACTCCCTACCGACCGACCGACAGACAGACAGACACATGTAGGCATGGTACCTGCCATTCTTTGCATTCCTCGTGGCTGGAGAGTTCAAACAGCGTGACGGCATTGTAGAGCTGCCAGAACTGGAGACAGGAAGACAGGCAGCATCACCTGTCAGCTTCCCTGCAGACCCATGTGGAAAGCCAGGGAGATGGACCAGGCCCCCCAACATCCAAGACCAACTACCCGAAACATTGACACCCCCATTCTATGGAACCACAAGTGTCTCAGACACAGCAAGTCTGAAGGGCCAGCTCTTTAGTGTCCCTAGATTCTGTGGAAATGGGGATGGGTGTGGGGGACTACTTGAGATTTTCCACTTCTCCTTCAGAGAGACTTGGCCCTATCCTGCGCCATAGTGCAGGCCATAGCCCCGGGAAGCTTTGAGGCTCAAGCATTAAAACTATCACAACAAGGAGCTAGGTGAGGGTGATATTTGTATGAGGGGTATCTCCTCCCAGATACCCGGGGACAGATACCTTGTGAGGGAGGGGAGCCCCAAGGATCTTCTGTTCCCAGGGGTCATCCCTGACAGGGGTACCCACATATAGAGGGACTCACATGGCCACAGAAAAGGAAAGGCAGGAGGAAGGTGAGGCCCCGCCACATCCAAGACTGGAACCCTTCTGTGGGGGAGAGTTAAAAGGTTTAGTAGTGTGACTACTTAAAAAACAGCAAGTCTCTTTGTTGTCCAGGCTGACCTCAAACCTGTGGGCTCAAGTGGTCCTCCCATGTCAGCCTCCCAAGTAGCTGGGACTTCACATATGTCCCACCACACCTGGCCTAACATTTTATATATTATAAAGTTCAATCAAAAATATAGGCATTTCCTTGGAGAGGCCTAGCACTCTGTTGCTACCACATTTGGGGCCTGAAACAGAGGTCCCCAATGAATTATGAACAGCAAGGAGGGTAAAGAAAGAAGGCGGCCCAGTGTTGAGGCCTAGAAGTCTTAGGCCTCCTGATGCTGTGCCTCTATTGCAGGGAGCTGGACCAGTCTCCCCAGCTCTACCTGTTGCCCAGTTACTCACCCACCGTGAGGTCCAGGTGGTTCCTCTCCCCCAGGGCTCGCAGTCTGTAGAGACAGCCTCTCTGGTAATAGTACTGTAGGAACTGAACACAGCCTGTAGGGGGAGCACAGTACCCAGGCTCAAGGAGAATATACCCAAGGCCTCTCCCCCAAATCCAATGCCCTCGACAAATGCAGGCTAGTGGGTAGGCTGAATGGAGGGCAGAAAGAGCACCCTGGTGACGGTAAGTCACCGCAGGTATACTCCTATCTCTACCTCATTTTAGCAGTGTGCGTCCCTCAACGAGGAGCCACCTCCCCTTCGCCTTGGTCTTAATGTTGCACGTTGCTCCCAGCATAATCTCACATAGCTTGCATTCCAAAAAGCATTTACTGAGAGCCTACTGCTAGCCTAGGAAAATTCCAGTCGTTCTTAACCTGGTTGGTGCTTTGATGGGTCATTACATGTCTGAGCTGTCCGTACTGTAAGCGATAAAACATGTTCAGACAAGTATGAAAGACTGTGTTGGGGCAGGAGATAGATGGCCTAGACTTCTGGCCAGAACCCTCTCTGCTCCTCCACACAAGTGAGGATGGATATCTTCTGGAGACCTCCTCATCAGTAAAATCCCTTGGGGACCAGGTCCCTCCTCCTCCACTGGGCTTGAGTACTCACTCTGAAAAATGGAGAATGCTAAAAACTGATTTCGAAACTTCTGATAAATTAGTCCATTAGGCCTTGAAAAAACACAAAGGTAGGACACACTGTGAGACCAGACATTCTCTTAGGTGCCCCCCCCCCGCTTTTTTCATTCCAACAGAAAGGGACGAAAACTTTTCAAAGGTAAAACAAACTCCCAGATTCCTGTCCTTTGTCCTTGGGGCTGATCAGGTCACACCCATCACCCTTTCCAGAATTAAGGGACATCATGGTCACTCTGATTCCTCGTGCTGCTCCCTGTCACCTCTGCCCCAGCCAACAGAAACTGTGAAATAGTCACTGGCAGCTGGGCCTCTAACCCAGTTTTCAGTAATACTTGCTTTCTACCCGACCCACAAGTCAATTCTGAGAACCCTTCCCGGTGTACCAGCTGCAGCTCTGGCTCCATGGGAAGGGAGGTCAAAGGGCCCAGTGAGGGATGACTCACCAAGTCAGCATCACTCCAGACAGGAAAGTGGAGACGTAATGGTGAGACACCCACCAGCCTTTGATTCTTGGTGAGAACAAGAGAAAGAAAGGGATTCAGATGGGGAGAGAAATGCAGACACCTGCTTCCTAAACTCTGAGCCTGCAGCTGGAATAAGAAATGGGCCCAAACCACACCTTATCTCTTCCTGCAAAGGTATGGGCCCAAACTACTTGCAGATTAGCCCAGGGACCTGTGCTGTGACCTACAGAACATCTTTACCCAGTTCCCCAGCACGGAGATACTCCAAGCCTAATGCTATCCAGGGTCCATGCTGGACTGAACTATGTGCTCAGGTTCCTATGCTGGAGCTTAATCCCCCTGTGCCTTCCAGCAAGACTGCATCTGGAGAGGTAACTGAGCCTAAGAGGGCACAAGGGGGAACTGTCTTTGACCTAGTGTCTCTCTGTAAGAGAAGGATCAGGAAGACCACAGCACAGAGGGAAGGTCACACAGAACACAAGATGGGAAGGTAGCCATCTGCAAGCCAAGAGAGGCCCGAAACCCACACTGATGACACCTGGGTCACAGACCTGCAGCCCCCAAAGCCATAGAAAAGCAATGTCTGCTGGTTAAGATGCCCAGTGTGTAGTATTTCATGGGAGCCCGTAAACAAACACAGGTCCTTCACTTCCACCCAAGGCCTAAAACAGTTCCACAAACCCCACTAGTGACAAGATACAGGATTCTGGTTTTCATTTTCATTTTCTCAGGAGGCAGAGGTCTGAGAGTTCAAGACCAGCCTGGTCTATATAAGACCCTGTCTCAAAAAAAAAAAAAAAAAAACTAGTAGAGGGTAAGGGTCTGCCATTGGGAAAGGGGATTCTAAGGCTTTCTTTGCAGTGGGAAAGTCCACTGAGTGCAGCTGACATGGCTCTGTGCTCTCACCTCCACC